CAATGTTTAAGCTTCAGGGTCATAAGTGGTGAAGAAGTCTCAGGCGAAACGCCCGGCCCGCGATAAAAACTGGCCTCGGGGTGCGACAGGGCGTAATTATCTACGAAGAGAAGGAATGGAGAACCATGAGGAGGAGGACCAGTGTAAACCCAAGAATCACCAACGATGTTGGAACAAACCCTCCCCCCAAGCTCTCTCTTCACAGGCCCCTACAGCGGTTCATTTTCACAGAGGGACCTGCCCCGTTGGAAGGCAACTGCTTGAAGACCCTGAAGCATGCCAAATACTTGTTCCCGGGATTCCAACGCCACGGATCAACCTGTTGCGTCTTGACGAGCCTGAATGGAGCCCGAGCGCCATTCCTGGGACTGCAGCACCGCGAATCAACGTAGTATTCCGCCCTCATAATCCGGAATCCTTCCAAAATACCGTTTCTGGTACGCTGATCAGGAGAAACCGTGAAACTGTTGCATTGTCTTAAACGAATGTGCGCGGCTCTGAGGCGAGAGCCACATTTTGAAAACGACGCGCCCTCAATCCCTGAAGCTCTTGTACTTTTGTTCAAACGAATGTGCGCGGCGCTAAGGCGAGAACCACATTTTGAAAACGACCCACCCTCAATGTGTGAATCTCTTGCAATTTAAAGAAGGGAATGTGCGCGGCGCTAAGGCGAGAGCCACATTTTGAAAACCACCCGCCCTCAATCCGTGAAATTCTTGCAATTAAAAAAAAACGCCCGGCCCGCCATAAAAACTGGCCTCGGGGTGCGACAGGGACAAGTTATTTATAAGGAGAGGGAATTGTGAGGGAGGAGGACGAGGGGAGGAGGAGGACGAGGGCAGGAGGAGAACGAGGAGGAGGAGGAGGAGAAGGGGGAGGGGGGAGGAGAAGGGGGATGATGATGAAGATGAAGATGAAGATGTTGATGTTGATGTTGATGATGATGATGATGATGATGATGATGATGATGATGATGATGATGAGGATAATGATGATACTGATGGTGATGATGCTGATGATGGTGATGATGATGGTGATGCTGATAATGATGATACTGGAGAAGATGATGCTTATGCTGATGCTGGTGATACTGATGGTGATGGTGATGGTGATGATTCTGATGAGGAGGAGGACGAGGAGGAGAAGGCTCAACGAGCCCCTCAAAGGCTGGAGGCCTTCTGAGCCTTCTGAGGAGGCCTGCCACCTCTGCCTCCCTCCCTTGGGCGCACCGCAGAAGAGGGGAGGCGAGACGGGGCGGCGGAGGGGGAGGACCTCGGACAGATCAATCGATCTCCTTCGACTACACGCAAGGGTGACCCTGCCCCCTCTGCCCCTCCCCTGGGCGCGCCGCAGAAGGGGGGGGGAGCGGAGGCGGCGGAGGGTGAGGACCTCGGACAGATCAATCGACCTCCTTGCAAGGCCGCGCCCACGGCGATGTTGGTTGACGACGGTGTTGTGAATCCGAAGCGCTCGGCCCCCGTTATTTCACGCGCGCGACAGTACCCTCACGCGTCGGCCGACCTGTCGCACGCATGAAATAACGGAGGCCGAGCGCTTTACCCTCACTCGCGCGTGAGGGCGCGAGTGAAGGTGAAGCGCTCCGCCGACCTGTCGCACGCGTGAAATAACGGGGGCCGAGCGATTTACCCTCACTCGCGCCGCCTTTTGTGGCGCCGAACTCGCGAAGAACAAACTGCAGGAAATCATGAAATACACTTTCCCACATTTCAAATCTGCGAATAGATCGAGCGAAACCCACGCAGCGAACTGTACATAGGAAAGCACGAAGCACGATGTCCTGCAATTGGTTTGGCCACGAGGCACTCCCACCTACAATGCCGAAACATACATCGCCGTTACCTACATCGCCGTTATCGCGTCTACGGTCCTTACACTACACGCAAGAGTGACCCTGGGTAACAGTAGCCGTTGATGTGCGGCCTTTGGGGGGACCGCGGGGGGACCAACACGAGCGCGCAAGACGCTACTGCCGCATCGCGCTCGGCGATCGGGGGGCCTGATGCCGGGAGGAGGCCTGATGCCAGGATCCAAGACCGGCCCCGATCGCCCGCAGACCCCCTGTATGGCGTCCAGACGGCCCGAGACGCTCCCAACCAAGACTCCCCAGAGCCCCGAGAGCAGCCCCAAGAGGTACAGAGAGGCCAAAATCATGAATTCCCACAAGAAAAATTGTTTAGAGAGATTTTAGCGATTTCGGCTTTGACTTCCGACGCTGTAAGACAGCCCAAGAGCCCCCTCCAAGATCGCTCCAACAGTCCCAAGAGGCCGTAAGAGGGCCCCCAGACGGGCCACGAGGCCCGCAAGACGGCTCAAGACGGCCCCAAAAGGGGGAACTCGAACCGCCATTAGGTCGGGCATGTCCCCCTACAGGGGGATTTTCGGGGAAAATCTAAAAAATACCACAGAGATGGAAAGTGCGCCAGTGGACCTCCCTGAATGCACTAAAGGGGGGGCGGGGGGGTTGCAGAACCCCCTCCCCCCTCCCTCCCTTCAAGGGGGGGGAAGGTTCCAGACCCCCCCCCCCACCCCCTTAGAGGGGGGGGGTCCGAATCCCCCCCTCCCCTCCCCCCCCCTTGAAGGGGGAGGGGGGCGTCCGGACCCCCCCCCCCCCCTCGCCCCTTTGGCGCTGGAAAGGGGGGGGGGTTCGGACCCCCCCCCCCTCCCCCCATTTGTTCCGGAGTCGGGGAGGAGGGTCCTCTCTCGCTTCTCCTTTCTGCGCCGGAGAAGGTGTGTAGGGAGTACGGAGTTGGGAGTAGGGAGTGGTGAGTAGTGACAAGTGAGTTAGTGCGTGGTGAGTATTGGTGGGTAGTAAATGGCGAGTAGGGAGTAGGGGGTGGGGGGTAATGAGTAGTGAATAATGAGTAGTGTGTACTGATGAGTGAGTAGTGACTGGCGAGTAGTGAGTAGTGAGTAGTGAGTAGCGGATAGCGAGCAGTGAGTACTGAGTACTGAGTAGGGAGTAATGAATAGTGGGTAGTGAGTAGTGGGTAATGAGTAGTGGGTGGCGAGTAGTGAGTAGTGAGTAGTGAGTAGGGCGTAGTGCGTAGTGCGTAGTGAGTCGTGAGTCGTGAGTAGTGAGTAGTGAGTAGCGAGTAGTGAGTAGTGAGTAGTACGTAGTGCGTAGTGAGTAGTGCTGAATGGAGAGTAGTGGGTAGTGGCAGTGGGTAGTGAGTAGTGAGTAGGGAGTAGCGAGTAGTCAGTACTGAGTAGTAAGAAGTGGGTAGCGAATAGTGTGTAGTGAGTAGCGATTAGTGAGTAGTAGGTAGTGAGTCGTGAGTAGTGACTAGTGACGAGTGAGTTGTGACTAGTGACTAGAGACTATGTAGTGACTAGTGAGTAGGGAGTAGTGAGTAGCGGGGAGTGAGCAGTGAGTAGTGAGTAGCGAGTATGGGAGTAGCGAGTAGTGAGTACCTAGTACTGTGTAGTCAGTATTGTGTAGGAAGTGGGGTTAGTGGTTGGGGTTCGGATTAGGGGTTTGGGTTAGGGTGAGGACTACGGGTAAGGGTGGTGGGGGTCGGGTTTCGGAGTCAGGGGGCGGCGTGTTCGGACCCCCCCCCCTCTTTTGTAAGGGGGGGAAAGGGGGGGGGTCCCCGACGACGGATCGAGGAAAGGGGGGGGGGGGGTCCCGACGACGGATCGTGGAAGGGGGGGGAGGGGGGGTCCCCGACGACGGATCGAGGAAAGGGGGGGGGGTCCCCCCCCCTGGGGTTATCCAGCGGCGCACCCTCCCAGAGATGCCCCAAAATAGCAAAAAACTGCTAAACAAATCGTCCCCGGACTATTTTTTTGACTATGTTTGAATACTCACTGTGCTTGAATATATTCCTCCTGCAGAGGGACAGGCCCGACTTACAACTGGCATGCCCCGCAGACGGCCCAGAGAGGACCTCCGAGGCCGCCGGCAGGCCCCCGAGCGGCCTCCCAGAAGCCCCTGGGGAGGCTCCCTAATGAGAGGCCCGCGAGAGGCCCCAAGGCACCCAAATGCACGGTCTTTTCTCAGGATCAAGGCTAAAAGTACGGTGGCTGCGACGCACGCCGCGCGAGGCGGCTCACGTGCCAAAATGCTTACGGTTCGGGTGGACGCTGCGTTGATGCTTCCCCTCACCATGCACCGCTAACTACGACTCTGGTTGCTACATGCCTGCTTCGCAGACCTGGCGTGCCACCCGCAGGCGCGCCAGTGCTGAGAGACTGGTTTTTGAATTCAAAAAACGGCACCCCGCACGCGCCCTCCAAGAGGCTTCCGAAGACATTCAGAGGCCTCGACCTGAACTACAAATAGGTCGGGCATGTCCCCTTACAGGCGACTTTTGGATGAAAAACAAAAGTACTCAACAAATGCTCAATAATTGTCAAACATAATCCACAAAATCGGCCCCAGACTTTTTTAAATATACTGTTTTTGCATATTCTCCCTGAAGAGGGACACGCCCGACTTAACACTGCAACCCAAGTGCGGTGGCGGACGGGGTGACGGCCACTCGATACCATGACGGTGTCAGAAACACAGCGACCGAGGACAGCCACGTTTACAACGCGGTGGCGGTCAGGCCGAATAGCCAATCGAAACCGAACGTCTGAAACCAACGTTTAGAACAGAACCGGTGCCGAACGAAAACGAAGCACGAAGCGAGGCCGCCACTCAGAGAGAAAACCACATGAACGACGACACGAACGTCGCCGAGAATCTTGTTTCTGAGAACTCGGGCTCGGGGGTCCGGGTCGGCCTGGCAGGGCCATCATGAAAATGGCGCTACCCTGTCTGAAGTGTGACGCGAGCTTCTGCTGCAAACATCCTACGAAATCTGGACCGTCGAAATCCAGCACGCGCTCGTCAAAAAGCGTCGGCAAACCCGAGTTCCGGCGTACTCGAGTCTTACGTTCCCCCGACGACGGCCACTAGATACCATGACGATGTCAGAAACAAGATCCTCGAACCGCGCCAGGAAGGAGACGCGGCGGGAGGCGAGGCAGCCCGCCTTGCGCGCCTGCTTCCCGCGGAGCCTGGCCTGGATCCTCGTGGCCGCGGCGTGCTCCTCGTCCGTGCCCGGGCCCGTCCGCGGCGCGACGAGGCACAGCCTGATCCTGCCGTCGCTGCCGCCGCTGCCCCCCGCGAGCGCATGCCAGTCCGCGGCACCGAGGTTCGCCGCGTCCAGCCTCAACTCCCCGACGAGGGCTGCGCCCGGCCCAGGCTCGCCGTCGACCCGCAGCACGCGGAGGAGCACGGTGTGCGCGCTTGGATGCGCCCGCAGCAGGAGCTGCTGCCTCACGAGGCACTCCTCCATGCCCCCGTCCTCCTGGTCGAATGAGACCTTCGCCTCCGTCGTCCTCTCTGTGCCGCTGATGCCGTCCCAGCTGATCTCGACGACGTACCTGCCCGGCTCGTTAGTACGCTGCCGTGGGGCCTGCAGCTTGTCCAGCTGCGCCCAGATGCTCGAGGTCCGAAGCGTCTGCTCTAGGTCGTCCGCGAGACCCTTCATCAGCATGACCGTCTTGCGCGCCTTCTTCCCGCGGAGCCTGGCCTGGATCCTCGTGGCCGCGGCGTGCTCCTCGTCCGTGCCCGGGCCCGTCACCGGCGCGACGAGGCACAGCCTGATTCTGCCGTCGCTGCCGCCGCTGACCCCCGCGAGCGCATGCCAGCCCGCGGCACCGAGGTTCGCCGCGTCCAGCCTCAGCTCCCCGACGAGGGCTGCGCCGGGCCCAGGCTCGCCGTCGACCCGCAGCACGCGGAGGAGCACGGTGTGCGCGCTGGGGTGCGCCTGCAGCAGGAGCTGCTGCCTCAAGAGGCACTCCTCTGGGCGGGCGGCAGCGGGGGCCGGTCGGGCCCGACCAGCCCTGAGACCCTGGCGTCGCAATTTGTTCACAGCGGTCGTTGCCGCCGGGTTTCGGGCGCAAGGACCCACGCAGACCGATCCTGCTCGAGAAGCGCCGCAGGAACTTGGGGCCCAGGGCGCGGGTCGTGGCTTTTCGCGACGCTGAATGATCTTGTCGCGAGGTAGGCTTTCAAACAAGTGGGGGTCCCCAAACCGTGTGGTGACAGACCCAGCGGTGACCTCGAAATCCGCAACGACCTCACCGCAAGGCCCGTCACCACACGGTGTTGGGACCTCGGAAACCCTCTGGTCGCCCGAGACATCCTCGGAGAACGACCCGGGTCCCAAAACCGTGTGGCGACTCCGAAATCCCCCCCCCCCAACCAACTCACCCAACGGTGTGGTCACCACGCCGTCTGTCGGCTACACGCAGGAGTGACCTAGGCAAAGAGTGACTTTTGGTGCGCGGCTACACAGGGGGGCGCGGGGTTCGCAAATCTGGGCGCGCAAGCCGCTGCTACCGCTGCGCGGTCAGCGATCGGGGAGCCCCCGCGGGCCCGCACCAGAGGTCACTCCGGCGAAGTGCGACTCTTACGTGTGTCGGGGATCTTCTGACCCGGGTCCATCCAGACCCGGGTCAGCAGGAAACCAAAAACTGCAATGCAAAGAAAAAAAAACTGCGGCGCAGATCTTCGCACACCCGGGTCAGCCAGTATGCGCGGCCACGAGCGGCTCGCTAACCCGGGTCAGCCAGAGGGGGTCTTCGCAGGATCCTGCAGGATCTGGCTCGGGAGCGGCCAAGAGGGAGATGTCCAAGAGGGGGGGGTGCAAATCATGACCGGCGGCATGTGCGCGGCCCAGCGGGGGGGCCAGGGACGCAATGAACCAAGAAGAGGCGCCATGAAATCTGGGGAAACATCATGGCCCACGCCATGATATCCACCCCCCCCTAGTCATCACCCCCCTCTTTGCCGCCTCCGACTGGCGCCCTGGCTGACCCCCGTTTGCATTGACTCCCGTCTCAAGGCTCCCGAACGTGGTCGGGGGGGGGGGCGCCGGGCCAGACAAGAAAGGAGGGGCAGGCGGGTCGTGCCGGAGCGGGCCTGGAGTTGGGTCGGGCACGTCCCCCTGCAGGCCGACGTTGGACGAAAAAGGAGCCATGCTCCAAAAAATGTGCAAAACAAGTGATCAACAGAAGCTCCCAAAGTCGTCCCCAGACTGTGTCTTCACTATCTTTGAAGACTCTTCCTGTGGCAAGGCAGGCCCCACTGAGGCCTGGAGCCCCGGGGGGCCTCCGGGAACCTCCGGGCACCATCTGCGCGGCTGGCGCCGCCTCGCTGCTGCGCAGCAGCCGCGGCTTGGGCAGCGGCCGCAGCGGCGGCGAGGCGGCGTCCGCCGCGAGGGAGGCGGAGGTCGAGGGACTGGCAGGGCGAGGCCGGGAGGAAGAGAGATCTGGGTGGGGATAAAATCGAGGGCCTCTGAGGTCTGGCAATTCTGGAGGAGGCGGAGGTCGAGGGAATGGCAAGACGAAGCCGGGACGGAGATAGGTCTGGGTGGGGATACATCGAGAGCCTCTGAGATCTGGCAATTCTGGAGGATGTCCCCGGCGCCGCGGCCTTCTCAGAGGGTTCCGGAACGCTCTTCCTCGTGGCCCGAAAGGGGGTCCAGCTGAGAGGGGGTGGTGCAATTCATTTTTGGCCATTGTAGTGCACATGTATTGCGCCAGAGAATTGCATTGCATTGTATTGCAACTAATATCTTACACGCGAAAACCCAGCAATACATTTGCGCACTGGAATGTATTGCACACCCCAAATATGATGCAACCCCGCAAATCCATTGCACCAAATCTATTGAACCACCCCCTTGTCGCTGGACCCCCTTCTGGGTCAACCAGAGCTCCGGAACGAATTCATCCTCGTCCTGGCCCCCTCCGACATATCTCTGGATAGCCCAAGAGTTGCCCCCGGCCGCTGTTCCCGCGCCCACCTCTACGGAAGGCACGGGCCGCGCGACGCCCGCCTCGCTCATGCTTTGCCCTGTCGTTGCCGCCCATCTGCCCGATCCTCCATGCCCTCTTCCTCCGGGTCGGACGAGATCTTCGCCTCCGTCCACGGCGGCCCCAACCCTCTGAGGCTCTGAGGGGCAGAAGCTGAATCATCAGAGAATGAATGGATTCGGCTTGAGTTCGGGATTCGGTTTTCTGTTATGCATGGGGCCAACGGGGCCAGGCGGACACCGACGACGACGACGACGACGACGACGACGAGAGCAACGAGGACGAGGGGGAGGAGGAAGAAGCCGACGACGAGGGATTGGAGGGCCAGCACCCCCATCCGTCCTATCGGCCCAAGCCAAATTGGACCCTGGCCGGGCGGCACAGCATAGCCCCAATGCGGCGGGCTCCGGCCTGGCCTTCGCGGGCCCCGGTTTCGGGCCAGTTGTTATCCGTGCCCCTCTGGGGCGACGCGACGCCCTGGATCGTGACTTTGGACCCCGAGATGCGGGCGTGACGGCAACATGTTTTGTGGGGGTCTGAAAATGGCAGCCCCCTCCAATAATGGGCAAAATGCTCCGCTTCGGGCGCTTACCAAAAGTCGCAGAAAATCAGCAATCATCGACACATGGTGATGCCGCTGCCGCCGCCGCCGTCGTCGTCGCCGCCGCCGTCGTCGTCGTCGTCGTCTCCGTCGTCGTCGTCACATCTACTACGCCTAGTCCTACTCCTACTCTTATCGTTACTCCTTCTTGGAATGTTCTCCCACTCTGCCATCGAATAATCCGATGGCATCCCAATCTGGGTGGCCCCGTCACACCTGTCACAAAACGGTATCGCAATCATGTTTCCGTCCCAACATGGAAATTACGTCGCACATGTTGCAAAATGCATGGCCGGAATGGGACGGGGTGCACATCACGCGCAACAAAAACGAAATGTCGCTCTGGCTTCGGCGCCGCGTTCAATTTTCTACCAAATTGAGTTCCCGCTCTGGCGCGGAACACATTTTCCGCACGCGTTTTCGTCGACGCGCGAACGGGCGAATCTGTAATTTTTGCCTTGGCGCCGTGCAGATTTCGCATGAAGGTAGCGTTCCCGCCTCGACGAGGCGCATCCTTTTCACTCGCCGGTTTTTTCCTGGGGGCCGCGCGAGTGGGCGACTTGCCGCCCTGGCCAGCTTCCAGCGCGCATGTCGCTCGGAAGTGGTTTTCCAACGCGAACGCGGCGCACGGCTCGTTCGCCGAACCGCACGATAACGACAGCCGCTGAGGGGCCGCGCGGAAGCGGGCGAAAGGCCAACCTGTCCAAGCGCCGCCCAGACTGCGTGTGAAAGTGGCAGTGCCCTGTCCGCACGGCACATGCTTCGTCTTCGCCGCGCCAATCGGAAATTGCGCCGCTCCCGCTCCTACACGGTAGAAATCGTCGTAAGCGGGGCCGCGCGCGAACGCCTTCCGCTTGCGAGGTGGGAGCGCGCTCCAACGTATTAAGTTGTACCCCGCTTGATTCGTAGGTTGCGGGAGGAGGGTGGGAGTAACGGGGGCCCCTTGACTCCCCAGATCTGGCTACATTCCTGTCCTTATTTCCTCTTCGAATATACTCCCAATCTGCCACATGGCCGGCTAGTAGCAGGCCAATCTGGGTGGCCCAGTCCTACGCGCCACGCACTAGTACAGCGTCAACGTGTTTTGTCTGAACATGGAAATGTCGTCCATGATGCAACATGTGTGGCAGGAGCGGGACGAGGCGCGCATCCCGCGCGAAAGGCCGACATGTAATTCTGGCCACGGCGTCGCGCTTGGTATAAGATCAAATTATCGTTCTGACGAGGTGCACATTATTCACACGGATTTTCGTCGACGCGCGAACGGACGAACGCGTAGCCCTCGCCTCGGCGCCGCGGAGATTTCGTTTGAATTTGGCGTTCCCGTTCCCGCCCCGACGCGGCGCATGCGCGTCACCTGCCTGCTTCTTCCGGGCCCGCGCGGGTTGGTGACGCGTCGCCCTCGCCCAAATTCTGTGCGCATTCGGCTCCGACGTGGCGTTCAGGCGCGGGCGCTGGGCATGGCTCGTTCGCCGAAGCGCGTGGAAGCAACAGCGGCACCAAGGCCGCGCGAGAGCAGGCGAAATGCCGACCTCGTCCAAGCGCCGCGCAAATTGTACATGAATGAAAGTGGCAGTTCTGTCCGCGCGGCGCATGCTTCGCCCTCGCCGCGCCCATCGGAAGTTGCGCCGCTCCCGCCCCTTAGCGGCCCATGCGAACTGCGCCACGGAGGTACTCGGTGGAGTTCCCTATGGGGCCACGAAGCGTGTGAAGGGTGTGCCGACATGGGTCGGGCGGACGCATGCGAATTGCATCACGGAGGCACCAAATGGAGCTCCAACTGGGGCGACGAACCATGTGAGGAGTGCCGGAATGGGTCGGGCGGACGCATGCGAACAATGTCACGAAGGCGCATTTGTGTACCCCCACCCCCGGACAGCAGAGCAGTCCTGCGCCCCACAAAAGCAACCCAAGCAGCCAGGACCTATGGGAGACGCTTGCAAGGACGCTTGAAAAGATGCCCAGGCAGCTTGCAGGCTTGAAGTGGGAGTTGTGCGCGAGCGCAGGTAGCGCTGTCCAGGAGCTGCGCAAAGGCTTGCGGCACGCATAGTGGGAGCGAATCGGACAATATTTCTGGGACGAGCTGCAGATTCAAACAAATTCATGCGGGCATGCCTGCCCCGCAACCGTTGAATAAAAACTGGCATACCCTTGCCTGCTGGCTTCTTCCCTGAAGCCCCAAACAACTTTCCAGGAGCTATCCGGAAACTAAACGTGCGAGGGGTATGCCGAAACAGAAACATGCGGAGGGCAGAGGTAAGGAATCGAAAGAGGAGAGGAGGAGGAGGAGGAAGAGGAGGAGGAGGAGGAGGAGGAGGAGGAGGACCAGTGCAAACCCAAGACTCATCAACGATTTTGGAATATTTAAGCCCTCCCTCCAGGCTCCCCGTTCATAGGCCCATAAAAGGGTTCACTTCCACTGCAGGAGCTGCCTCGTTGGGAGACATCAATTAAAAGACCCTGAAGCATGCCAAAACACCACGCTCGGGACTCCAACAGTATGGATCCACCTGACTGTCGCGTCTTGACGATCCTGAATCATTCCAGAAAACCATTCCTGGGACTCCAACAACGCGAATCAAGGTAAATGTTGCGCCCTCACAATCCTGATTCCTTCCAAAACACCATTTCTGATATGCTGACCATGAGAACCCGTGAATCGCTTGCACATGTTTCAGACGAATGTGTGCGGCGCTACGGCGAGAACCACATTTTGAAAACGAGCCACCCTCAACCCGTGAAGCTCTTGCAATTGTTTAAAACGACTGTGCGCGGCGCTAGGGCGAAACCGCATTTTGAAAACGGTTCGCCCTCAATCCGTGAAGCTCTTGCAATTTCTTTCAACGTATGTACGCGGCGCGAAGGCAAGAGTCACTGTTTGGAAGCGGCACACCCTAAACCTGCGAAGCTCTTGCATCTTCAAAAACGAGTGTGCGCGGCGCTAAGGCGAGATCCGTACTTTGAAAACGACCCGCTCTCAATATGTGAAGCTCTGGACGCGTGTGCGCGGCGCTGAGGCGATAGTCACATTTTGAAAACCACCCGCCCTCCATTGGCGAAACTGCTGCCAATTTTAAATTTTCAGGGTCATTAGTGGTCAGGAAGTCTCAGGCAAAACGCCCGGCCGCCCTTTCGACTGGCCTCGGGGTGCGACAGGAAATCCGCCGACCCTGTCGGCGTGTGTGAGGGGCTTTTCCGTTCGAGCCGTCATCTCCGTTATTCTTTGTACTCGTCGTCTCTGTCCGTCCCTTTCCCTGGGACTCCTCTTCCCCTGGGCTCCAGCCAAGCCGACCTTGAGCAACGTCGTAATTCAGTCGAAGGGAAGCCCCTTCCCTTTGATCCCTCCCCCGCCGGGAGGGGGGGGGGTAGCGACCCCCCCCCGGGTCAGATACGACGCCCCCCCCCCGTACCGACCTTGAGCAACGTCGTAATTCAGTCGAAGGGAAGCCCCTTCCCTTTGATCCCTCCCCCGCCGGGAGGGGGGGGGGGTAGCGACCCCCCCCCCGGGTCAGATACGACGCCCCCCCCCCCGTGCCGACCTTGAGCAACGTCGTAATTCAGTCGAAGGGAAGCCCCTTCCCTTTGATCCCTCCCCCGCCGGGAGGGGGGGGGGGTAGCGACCCCCCCCCCGGGTCAGATACGACGCCCCCCCCCGTGCCGACCTTGAGCAACCTCGTAATTGAGTCGAAGGGAAGCCCCTTCCCTTTGATCCCTCCCCCGCCGGGAGGGGGGGGGGGTAGCGGGGGGGGTAGCGACCCCCCCCCCGGGTCAGATACGACGCCCCCCCCCCGTACCGACCTTGAGCAACGTCGTAATTGAGTCGAAGGGAAGCCCCTTCCCTTTCCCTTCCCCGACGAGGGGGGGAGGGGGGTCCGGGGGGGGTCCCAGGGGAGTCCCGGGGAAGTCCCGGGTCAGATACGACACCTCCCTCCCCCACCTTCTCGTCCTTCTCCCCGTTCCCCAAAACCATCCCACAGCCCGTGCCTCTTGCTGCGCATTGCGAACAGGGTCGGCGGCACCGGCCGTAAGGCCTTCGCAATAATTATTCACAAGGAAAAGGAATGGAGGAGGAGGAGGAGGAGGAGAACGCGGGAGGATGCGTACTCAAAACAATGACCCAACACCACAGGATGGTTGAGACAAATCCTCGCTCGAAAAAAAAAGCCCTCCTCCTACTCCGACCCCTCTCCCTGCTCCCTGCCCTCCCCCCGCATGGGATCCCGAAGACCTTTGATTGTATGTTCGTAAGTCTCGCATTTCTTTCGTACTGTCTCAGGCTTCGTGGGGCAACATCCAAGAAACCTACGACTGTCATTGAAAAACCAATCATACCTATACGACCACCTTTCGGGTGATAAGAAATTTGGGGAGGAACTAATTATGGACAACTGCGATGATTGTGATTGGGGCGATGCTAGTAATGTGCTCACGAATTGGCGGTGATGCACGATGGCGATGATGGTGATAACGCATGATAGCGATTGTGGTGGTAGCGGTGCGAAGCA